GTTGTCACAGTTGGAGGTGGCAAGGTGTTACAGTTGGAGGTGGCATGGGGTCACAGTTGGAGGTGGCACAGTGTCGCAGTTGGAGGTGGCATGGGGTCGCAGTTGGAGATGGCGTGGTGTGGCAGTTGGAGGTGGCATGGTGTCACAGTTGGAGGTAAGTGTCGCAGTTGGAGGTGGAATGGAGTCGAAGGTGTAGGGAGCACATCAGCAGCAGTTCTGGATAGTTTGTGAGGTAACCACTGTTTTTCTTGCAGGTGGAGCTTCAAATGGTCCATGTTGACCTTTGGTACAAGTGTACCAGGTGAATCAACAAGATCCTCACATTTGTGACAATTTGTACTGTGCTTAGGTTACTGTCAAGGGGCCTAAGAAATTGGGGTCCAGTTTTCTTCTTTTCTTTAATCACTTCCAACATTTCTGCACCACACCATGTCTCCAACTGTTCTGCACCAGAATCCACACGAGCTAACACAGGGAGATTAATAATTTTAACACAAATCATAGCAGAAAGGACAAACTGTGACCCAGCAGAAGCTGCATCTCTGGTTTACTGGTGGGACTATCTTTTTAATTGGGCTGGGCAAGCAGTAATGAAGTGTCCTTTACCATAAAATATACATGCTTTGTGTTGAATCTGTGCTTATGAGTGATTTTATTTTTATCCTTTGGGATGTTATTTACCTTTTGTGTTTCTTGTTCCATCTCCTATTTACCCTCAGTACTACACTTGATCTTAGCCAAAAGGCCAAGAAGCGATGAGAAAGCAATTTACCCTGAGGAAGCCTCCTCTGTGTTTTTCCAGTCATCCTGCCTACCCCACCTGTCTGCAGTCAGTATTCAGCCCAGGTGTCCCCATTGTATTTTCTTCACTCAAACCCCTTGTGTCTGCCTGCATCTAATGGTGACCATATGAAGCTTCATGAAGCCATGAAGATTTAGTTCCAACTGGTTCAAAAATAGGTTATTTTCTCGAGGCTTCATGTGCACACAAACACCCCTGGTCAAAATTTCTGTACTTTAAATTACAAAGTGATATCCTCTTAAAAAGAAATTAAAGCACCAAATTTTTATTTTGTGTTTATTTATGTCAGTTTTGATATTTGGTTAATGGTAATAAGTATTTATTTATCTTAACAAATATGCAGGTAAATTATTACGGATGGACGGACGTCATTATAATTTCAGTCAGATGTTATAAATGTTGCAGTGGGTACTTATGAATAGTGGGATCATGGTGACTTTTTTCGGTTAAGGTCAAGTATTTATTCTACTGAGCTTGGACTCAGTTGGTTTCTCTCTTTGAAATCGTCCACATCTGTTGTCAACTTCAATGCAGGAACTTTCTGGACATCGGCTTTGGCCTTCTTCTCTTTTTGGTTGTTGGCCTGAACCATGGCCTTAATAACCCAAAGGGAAGCAAGAAAATAATGATTATTAATTTTAATTAAAAGTCCCTGAAGCTTTTGCTTACTGACTGCTGGTTGTTTGTCTCTAACAATCATGGACACCAAAGCCTCATCCAGCTCCTCCTTTCTGCCCACTGGGATTACATTAGATGAGATTATATTGTATTGTGATTAAACCGTACAAACTCATTCAAAGTGTACAAGGATTGTTGTGTCTTCATTTTGCGATATGTAGGAGTTGAATGAAGTATTGTTATTGTCGTTATTATCATGGTTGTTTAACAAATCTGACACCAGTTCTTTGGAACACAACAAGCACCTCACCTTGGAATGGACACCCCCCCCCCCCCCCAGATGTGCCATTGTAATAAAAACTAACAACAGCAATAATAACAACAGTAATCATAATAAATGTCATTTGCAATGCACTTTATAACTGTGATTGTACATGCATAAAAAATTCACAACAAAATATCATATGAACTGAGAAACAATAAAGGTATAGTTCTCTTAAAAGGCATGTTGCAGAATTGTAGTAACACTTGATAGATCAGCTTTGCCTTCTGG